ATTTATTATTTATTTTATGTTTAAATTTTATGTTATTAAATTTATTACAATTGAACAATTTGGCTAAATGTTTAAATATTTTATAAAAATATTTTTAACAAAATGTATTTTTATTTTTTAATTAAAACAAAAAAGTTTACATTTTTAAAAGTATTACGATAAAAGTTGTTTAGTTCATGTCAAGTTCAACTACCTTTTAAATTAATTTTTAATTTTGTCATAATAACTAATTAATATTTTTTTTAATCTTTTTGCCGATTGCTGGAACCGGTTGCAACTAATGATTCTATTTGTTGTTTTTAAAAATAATAAAATGTTGTTTCTTATAAATAATAAATTAAAAACAAAAACCTTAAAAAATATAAAGTAATCAATTTTGATAAAAACTCATTACGTTTGTCAGATATTATTTTATATTTTTAATTTAATTTTCAAGTTAATTTAAAAAATCACAAATTTTTTTAAAAAATAATAATGAAACGTTTTAGTTTGTTTCAATTTGTTAAAAAGAGATATGAATTAAATGCTGAGCAAAAACACTCAAAATTAAGTTCACTGCATCTTTTGGTCATAATTGGCTCCACGATATACTTTATTCGCATTCTCGTTGCTGTTTATTTTCTTGGAACAAAACACTCCACTTTATATCTTGCCTATGACCAATTGCTTGGGCAACTGTACAACTTGGGCATTGTTGATTATTATCTTTTTCTTGCTTTCAGTCCATTAATCTTATTTTTTCTTTACCTTCATTGTACACTTTATTTTCCGATTAAATCTGATCGCAATTTAGTAAACTGTTGCTGGCGTTTTATCTACGATATTTTAGTTGCTAGTTTTAGCGATTTTTCCGAACAAAACGTTATTCATTTAAACTGGCGATCAGCAAAAGAAACGCAAAATGTAAAACAATTTTTTATGCTTAAACTTCTTCAACAAATTGGTTTTAACTGCAAAGGCGAAAAAAAGAGAAAAGCGATGATGTTTCTTTATAAAGACTCAAACTTGGAAAAAGATAAGAAAAATAAAGTTTTGTTAGTTGATACCTGGTTGAAACTAGAAGCAGTTGTTTTATATCTCATATTCAATAGTAAGTTTTGTTAATTTGAACTCTATATCATTTTTTCACATTACTTTTAGTGACCTTTACTACTTTGGCAATCGTCTATTTTCGCTTTCTACCGCTTTTCTTCACACATTCAATCCCTTTTGCTTTTCTGGCCACCATCGATTACCTTTTCTTTGGAACGGGAGCTCTTCTAGGCATTTACAACGTACTCATCTTCGCCTCGAGCATCATTGTTGTATCGTTAGTTTCTAGACAGGCTTTCAAAAATCAACGGGAACAACTGAAAAAGGCAACTAAATGTAAGGTGAACACAAGCGTAAACTTAGTCAACTCAGTGGCCACCTTCCGCACCAGTCACACACAGTTTGCTCGCTTTCTGGCCACCTTCAACCGAGCCCTTTCAGCCAAGTTCTTTTCCTCCTTTCTGCTGGGCAATCTCGCCTACAATGCCTACTCCTTCATGTTTATCGCCTACAACCGAGACCACTCTGCTGGACCGTTCTTTCGATTGGCCTTCAGCTGCTGGCAGGTGATTCACGCCATGGCCCCCGTTTCAGTAGCCACCTTTGTGGTGAAGATCAACCGACAGATGTACGCCGCCCAGGAGGTGCTATGCGCTCTACTTGCGACGACTACTTTTCAAATTCTAAAAACTGTCCCTTCATATTCATCCTCATACTCATCATCCACTTCTAAAGTACTGTCAATTCCGCTGTTTCGCGAACAGTGGAAGCTGTCTTGCTATTTTGAACTGCTGGACCGAGGAGAAAATGCAAGAAAGACTAAAACAATGGCAATGACGGCGGCAATCTTCGGTGTTGCTTTAGAACGCAAAACAATGTTTGAGTTTGCTTTAATTTACGCAGCTTTTTTAATGCATTTTGGTGGTTGGATTGTACAAAATAAAAAAGAGGCAGAGTTAAAGTAAAATAAAAGTAAAACATGTCAAGTGAACTGTTTGATGGTGAGAGTTTGATCTTTTCCCTTTTTAAATTAGTCAGTACCTGAATCAAACATTTTGATTCCGTAAAGAAAGTGCAGAATCAGTGATGCACTTTACATTCATTTGCTTGAAACTTCAAATCTAAACTCATTTTCGATTTAAGCTGTTACTTCATCAAATGCCGCTGTCGCCATCTATTTTCGTCGTTTGGATAATCTTAGCTCGGCTTTGATTAGTCATGCTCGAGTGCTCTGTTTTGGTGTTTGTCCAGCACTACACAATGCAAACACAACAAATGCTGCCGTCTTAATTTTTAATAAAAGCCTTCTACTTGTTCTGTTTTTAAAATTGTAAACAGTTATTTTGTATTCATATTGTTATACTTAAAATGATTAGTTTTATAAAGTCAGCACTGTGTTCAGGTATTTGCCATATTATAAAAAATTATTCAGAACTTACAAAAAATAATATTTTTTTGTTTAGTGTTCTAATCACAAGCTAAAATGATCGATCAATAGACTGAAACTTATAAACCTCAACACTATTATCATTAAAATAAGACAAAAAATTTACTTAATTTTTTTACTTTAAATTCCTGTCAACAACAAGAAAACTTTAAATAGTTTATTCACAATAATGAGTACACCAATCGAAAAATACTCGTACTTGTACAGTGAGTACTCCATCAGTCATGAAACTCAATCAAGTCAGCAAGTGATGATTGTTAGCAACAACACCAGTCTATGGAGTCGGTTAACTGCCTGGATTACCAACAAAACCGAATCATTTCATCAAGTAGACTCTAGTTTGCTGGTGTACGATACAGCCTCCGAATCGCAACTATTGTCAAGTAAATTGTCTTCATCTTTCTCTTTAGCAAGCAATCATTTACCACCTACCCCACCAACCTCATCATTGACAGTCAAAGTTCTCAGTTACCTCCTTTTTATTCTCACTTTAATTGCTGTGATCATATACGCCTACCAGACTGGATTTTACCTGGTTTTACTGCGCAACTTACAATCTACATCCTCACTAACTTCACCGTTGTACTGTGAAAATGACCATCACTTTTCTTCCAAAACGCCAAATGGCAGCCAATCAGTAGACTCTAGTCATCTCCTAGCATTGCACACTGTTCTTCGTGACGTCAAATACTCACCGTTGTTCCCTGTTGATCTCTTCCTTAATATAACCGATCTCACTGACAAATCATACCAAAATGGAGTACCCCACAAATGCTCTCACTACTCCTGTTTTGACATATACCGTTGCGGTATTTCCAACTATCAATCTCTGGAACTGCAGCAACAACAGCAACAACATCAATCAGAACATCAAAAGACTGCCCACCAAAGAGAACACTTCAACTCTCGCCATCACCACCATCACCACCAACATATCAAGGTGTACGTTTACCCGCAGTACCGGTACGTGGACAAGGACACCGGTGATGATGTGCTCCCACTGTCTAGGCAGCAGCAATCCGCTGAGTTTACCCGTCTAATGAAGGCAGTCATTGGCAGCCGGTACTTCACCACCAGTGCCGCCAGAGCCTGTCTCTTCGTCGTCAACCTCGACCTGTTCAATGTAGCTGAAGGTGATGTGCACGATTTGAAAGCAGTAGAGCGCATCCTCTGGTCGCTGCCATCGTTTGCAGCCCTTTCCGGTGCCAACCATCTTCTCTTTTCAATGTTGCTCCCCTCTCCAAACGCTCTGTCACAAGTCTCCAGTTCCGGTTCAGCATCTCATCATCATCATCACCCTCATCTGGGCATCAACATTGGCCAGGCAATGGTGGCGGCGGCTGGCCTGCGTCTTTCCACCTATCGTGACCAGTTTGACGTGTCCCTGCCCGGGTACAGCCTCTTTGGACAGCTGTACAGAAACAGCTTTTCAGAGAGTGATCCGTCAAAACCAGACATGGTGCACTTCAATCCGACGGCCATCAGCAGTCTGCGCCGCCGCTGGACGGTGATCAGTGCGCAGGCAGGCTCTCTCAGTGGTGGTGGTGGTGGTGGTGACTCACTTGGCCACCGCCTTCAGCAGCTTCAGTTCACCAGTCCGGATGAGATCCTTCTGCTGCAGTCTGACTGCAGCAACCCTGGTGGTGATGAACACCACCCGTACATCAGCCCTCCTGATCCTCAGGTGGGACGTCTGTTTGCTCATTTCAATCAGCATAACAACAACAGCAGCAGCGACAACAGCAGTAACGGCGGCAATGAAACGGTTTTCTACTCCTCCGACAACACTGCCCACGAACTGTACACCGGCGCAGTGCTGTGCAATCCCGAGCGACAACTGGGCGGCCTCTACCTCGATCTGCTGCACAGTGCCGAGTTCTGTCTGATCGTCGATCCTCCCCTCCCCTCCGACAGTCCCTCCTCCTGGGCACTGCTGCTCAGTGACGCCCTCATGTCTGGCTGCATTCCGGTGCTGCTGGCGGACAGTCTGGTGATGCCCTTTGAGGCGCCGGCGCTGCGCATCGACTGGGCCACCGCCTCCATTCGAATCTGGGAGCACTCCGCATCACAGCTGCTGGACATCCTCGGCGCCATCTCCGCCAGCCGCCGGGCGCAACTGCGCGCCAACGGACTGGCCATCTGGCGGGAGCACTTTGCCTCCATTGAGAGCATCGCCGCCACCACGCTGGACCTGATCAATGAGCGCGTCTACCCGGCGCCCAGGGCCGTTTTTGCGCCCGCTTCTACCCGCTCAAAGGATGTTGAGCGCCTCCGAACACCAGTTGACACCAGTCCTCACCAGTTGTTTGACAGTTCGTCATCAGCTGAAGCCGACCTCATCCTCGGTTACCACCAACACCATCATCACCCTCAAGTAGTACCAGCGTACCGAGCATTTCGCCAGCAGTCCTTTGACTTTTTCTCCACCGGCGGCTACCACTACATTGCAGGGCAGGAGGTGGCACTGCGTTCTGTCGGCTTCACCGCCGTCATCCTCAGCTTCAACCGGCCGGACTCGCTGATGGACGTCATTCTGTCGGTGTCAAGGGCGGCCAGCTGCACCAAGATTGTCGTCGTCTGGAATGGCGACACGGCCGACCTGCTCAAATCAGGCAGTAATAGCCCACTGAAGTGGCCCACGCTGAAGGGCGGCACGCCCATTCAGGTGGTGGTGGCGGGCAGCAATCGACTGAGCAATCGCTTCTACCCCTATGAGTCGATTGAAACGGAGGCCGTCTTCAGCATTGACGACGACATTGGCATGCTCACGGCGGATGAGATTGAGTTCGCCTACCAAACCTGGCGCCTCTTTCCCGACCGCATTGTCGGCTTTCCCAGTCGGCGCCACTTTTGGGCGAATCGCACCACTGCCGCTGCCGGCTTTGGCGGCAGTGTTATCGGTCACAATCGGTGGACGTACGACAGTGAGTGGCGCAATGATATCTCACTCATTCTCACTGGAGCGGCTTTCTATCACAGTGTAAGTAGTGTGAAGAGTAGTTTTATGTTTTTCTAAACTTTTGGTGACTATTTGTACTTTGTCTTATCATTTTCTCTAGTACTACAATCACTTGTACACCAATGTCATGCCGGCCTCAATTAGAGAGTGGGTTGACCGAATGATGAACTGCGAGGACATTGCCATGAACTTTCTAGTAAGTGTCAATTTCTTGAAAATTATCCTGTTTTTAACTTATTTGTTTTATCACATTTCAGGTTAGCAATATAACCTGCGCTGCGCCGATTAAAGTGACGCCTCGAAAAAAGTTCAAGTGCCCGGAGTGCTCAAAACCTAGTCCTAAGTTGTCAGCCGATGCGATGGCACACTTGAAGATGCGTTCACGCTGTATTGACTATTTTGCAAAAGTTTACGGCATGATGCCACTGAAAACGGTTGAGTTTAGGTATATTTTGAAAATTTTATTAATATTTTTGTGCATTTACTAATGTTTTTTGTTTTGTTGTTTACTCTTCCAGAGCAAATCCAGTGCTTTTTCGCGACAACATTCCTGATAAACTGAAAGCGTTCACAATGATTGGAACTTTATAAAATAAAAATTTTATAACTAGAAATGCACTTTTTTAAACTTAAACCTATTAGGCATTTTTTAACTTTTATTTAGGCTAACACTAAATAATCAACACAAACCACTTTTTCAATTTCTGGTTTTTATTTACACACACAATAATCAACTGTTCATTGCAAAGTTGTTTAAAAATTGTAATAACAAACAAAATGAAAAGTATAAATGATAAAGTGTTTGTGTGTGTTCATATGTTTTTTTGACTAACATTGATTCAGTGTATTGCACTATTTCTAATTTGTTGTTGTTTGGCTACTTAAAATCTACACATATTTTTATTGTTGAAAAAAGACAAAATTTTCAGACAAGTTAAAAAACAAATTGAATCAACTAAAACAAAACTTAACTAAACTAAAAATAGGGGAAAATTGTTGTTGACTAGAAAGTACAAAACAATATTATTTGAAAATTAAATGAATTGAAATAAATCAAAAACAAAAAAGTTATTTAAAATTGGGCGTGCAGTAAAAAAGGGATAAATTACCGTTTCGACAACTACAGCTACTCTTCTACTGTTGTAAGATCAATACTTTAACTACGGTAAATGTCACCAATGATGTCCCGAATAGCCGATGAGCCAATGAGATCATGAAAGAAAATCTGCTCAACAGTAGTGTTTTTGACTTTGTGCAAAACGGGCAACATCAGAAGAAGTTTTTCAAACCGATTGAAATTGCTTTTATTTTCAGCAGTTGACAGCACTTCCGGACTGTCTTCATTAAACGATGTTGATTTAGACAGTGATTTAGTTGTCGTTTCCATTCTGACAGTGTAGTCATGCAACACACATTGCGACTGCTCGTGAAGGCGCTTCACAGTCAAGCGGTCCATTATGTCGATGCAGTCTAAAAAGTGGTTAATAAAATTAAGCAAAATTGCAATAAATAATCAAACAAACTTTGTAATACCTGGTTTAAAGAGAGCAATTGCTTTCAGGCATGCACACTCTGTGCCGTCCGGTGCAAGCATTCTGAACCACTTTACTACTGTTTCAATTTCCTTCATGTCCTCTTGCATGTTCTCGCACAATCGCATGTATATGTTGGACTCTTTTTCAACTACTGCACTCTTTTTAGCTCCTTTGTTTTTCAGTTCACTCTCACTGCCGACATCATCATCATCATCATCATCATCATCCTTGTCATCATCAACATTGACGTCACTGCTTTTGGGAGTGACATCGTCATTGATATCTCCGTCATCACTGTGCTCGACCAATCGGGGTTGCATAATGTCGGTGGATGAACTAGAGGAGTCCGGAGTGGTGACAGAGTTGGAAACAGAGACAGTGTTGGCGGTAGACATTTGGAATAGTTTCACCGTTTGGTGAAGATGCGCAAATGGATTCGGCGCTGTTCCCTCCACTGTTGCAGTGCCCAAGTTGACTGTCAGCATCCAGTGGGCAAGATTGATGATGAACAGCTCTTTCCAGGATTCCTCAAAAAGGCGTTTCTGAAAAACAGTGTTCATCATCGTTTTAATGAATAAAAAAACTCAATTCGCTTGCCAACTTACCTGATCACACAGCGACAAACTACCAAAAAGTGGCATGTTCTTAATCCACTGAATGGTGAGCACTAACAGACGAAGGTTTATCTCTTGAGTAGTGTTGAGACACTGCGAGAAGTGCAACTGCTGATGATGTTGTTGCTGTTGTTGCTGCTGCAGCTGCAGCTGACTTTGTAGCTGCTGGTGAGACTGATCAAAGTGATCGTAGAAATGACCATTCGCTTGCTGGCCATTGTTGTCCTCATCACTGACCGAAGTGGCCGTCGTGGAGAAGTGATGATGACCACTGGGGAAAGGGCCATCTGAGAAAGAAGAGCTAGCCGCCATTGAGGTGGTTGCCAGGTAGCTGTTCAGATCAAGTGGAAAGGTATTGTGCCCTGAAGAGGTGGGCAGTGTGAAGGGACTGAAGCACTGACTGGTGCTGGACAGCATTGAAGAGCTCTCCTTCTCACTGGTAGATGTCACCTGGTCAGAGTGATGACCACCACCACTACCACCACTACCTCCACTGCTGCTGCTGCTGCTGTTTCGGCCTTCGCCGTCGCTGGTAGTGTTCTCCGAGAGAATGTTTCGCATCATCAAAATGCTACTGTTTTTATTGCCTGAATGCCCATTGCTGGATGTGCTTTGTGCCAAGGTTGACCACGACCGGCGGCTGAAAGAGCCTTCAGTGTCGGCATTCTGAGAGACGGCGTTATTGTTTTCATCGTCTTCCGAGCAGGCGTCGTAATCCTCTTCTGACACCTCATCTACGTTCACGTCAGTTTGTTGACTGCAGTTTTTGTCATTCATTACTGTCATTTTTTTTTCGCTATTGAAATCATTTTCACTTTCATCTGACATTGGCATCTTTGTTTCCGACATTTCCTCTTCTGCATCTTCTTTGATTTTGTTTCCAGTGTTTGCTTTGGACACTTTCAGGCTGCTATTGCAGTTGTTTGTTAGTTTAACAAAATCTTCGCCTTTATCCAAACTTCCAAAACCTGATTTAGCATTGAGTGACAGTGACGCCGCAGTCGCTGTCACGCCACCAAAAAGAGATGATGGTTCACACATCAGCGACGTGAAAAAATTGCCCTTTTCTATTGGAAAAGGCAATCTACCGGCATTACCACCGGCTCCACTTGCAGTCACACCACTTGCCGCTGAGAGCATCTTCAAATTGGCCAGTGAGTTCAGGTAAAAGTCATCCAGCTCAAATGGGTAGTGCACCAGTGGACTACTGCCGTCACCACCGCCGCCGCTGCCACCACTACTTCCGGAGCCCAAAGTGCTGCTGGTGGACTTGCCACCAGCGGCCACTAACGGACTGGAGTTTGCACTTTTGACGCCAAAGAGTGATGACACCGAAGTGGAGCGACTGTTCTTGAGATCATCGAGGAGGGAGAGCGTTGCAGAGTAGCTGCCAGCGGCCGCAGCTGCCATCAGTGGACTACTCTGACTGCCTGACATTGAGGAGGAGGAGGAGGACGAAGGTAAAGGAGGTAGTGGTGGTGGTGGTAGTGGAGGAGGGGGAGGAGGAGGAGGTAGGGGTGGTAGTGCTGCAATGTGCATCTTTCCCAGTACACTTGAACTTGATTTGGGCCATTGACCGTTTCTCAGCAAAAAAGGAGAGCAAGTGCCACCAGAAGGTGGCTCGTTGTTTCGCTTTCGTTTCTTTTTAGAGAATGGTTTTGCTAAATAAGATTATTAAAAAATGTTAGCTTGTAAGGCATAAAATGGCATAAAAATCATGCTTTTTTAAAGTTGAACAAGGAAAAACTAACACTTACTGTCATTTGTGGTAGTGATCACGCTTTTGCTGCCGTTTTTGTTATCTTTAAAGAACGATCCCAAACTAGTGTAGCCAGTGTTGGGGAGAAAAAATGAGGAAGTGGAGGAGGTAGGGAATGCAACTGAGGAAGCCAACTTTAGGGAAGAATTATTGCTGTGATTACTGCTGCTATTGCCATTGCCGAAAATACAACTAGTGTCAAAAATGTCAAAATCTGAACACGAAATTGTTAAAATCAAAAACAGTAAAAATCACATTAAACACAAAACCAAATGAAAAACACCAACTTACAATTTCCACTTTTGCAACCGGCCAGCTTTTGCAAGCTCATCGAGTTGAAAAAGGGCATTGAGCCCAAGTCGAGGTTTGAAAAAGAGTGGTTGAAGAAAGAGTGGCTGTTTTGTTGTTCAGCAGCAATCGAAGTGGGCACATGACTGCTGAGCAGGCCTGCATTGCCGTTGATTGCTGACAGGGGCAGCGGATGGCCGTACAGTGACATGCCAGGCGGTGACACTGCCATGGACAGCAGTGCCGAGGGAATGGTGAGGTGACTTCCATCAGCAATGCTGCTGCCATTACGCGCTGATTGACTGCCATTGCTGGTGTTGTTGCCACGAGTAGGCTGGTGGTGAAGGTGCCGGTGGTGGTGATCACCGTGGTGGTTGGCACTGTGGCCTAGCAAGGAGCTGGCGGTGGATGCAGTTGATGATGTGGAAGAGGCGGCAGCCGCTGCCATCAAACTGCTAAAGTCCACTGTCGAGCTGCTGACCAGTTGGTTGGCGGCCAGGCCGGCGGCCACCGCAGCCGAACCTCCATTCAAGTGGTGATGGGGGTGATGGTGGTGGTGGTGACCATGACCATGACCACTATGACTACTGCCACTTTTTGTTGGGTCCTTCAGATATTTAGGCTTTCTAGGGCCTCGCTCGTGTTGAACAGCTATTTTTTGTTAAATAAAACAATATTTATGTTGTCACAAAAAAGTCAAAAATGATTGTTTTAGAGTTCATTTTTAATACTTTTTGTTGATTTTTTATTTAATTTAGTAACTTAATTAATTATACCTCAATTAAACAATTATAAAAATATTTATGTTTGCTTTTGCACATTAACATAGACAAAAATACCTTAATGAGCCTTTTATTACAAATGGGAAAACTTTGGGTATTGTGTTACCCACTGTTTTTGTCGACTAGTCACAAAATTGCCAGCAACTAAAGCGCACCTGCTCATCTAATGACCTTTAATTGGGGTTTCAGCGCGTTTATTGATTTATATTGTTTTTTAAACCCAACTACTTAGTAGACAATTTAGTCACTTAATTGTTTTATTTTAACGATATTAAGTGTTTAACAATGACCATTTCATTAATGTTAATTGCCGGTATTCTGAAGTATAGTTTCACCGAACAAACTAATCAAATTAAACATTGAGCATATTTATTGTTTTTTGTGTTATTGATTTTTCTAACTTTTAATCTTTCTCCACTAACGAGCCAATAGATCAATATGCCTAATTGATTTTTTGGGTTTAACAAAAAAACCTAATAAAAATTGTGTCAACTTACCGTCTTTATTCATGCTAGCATCAAAGCATTTCTTAAGTCGACAAGCACGACATTGGTTTCGGTGAGTTTTATCTACTGGACATTTGCCATGGAGTTCAGCCTGCGCCCGACAAGTG